ACTTGCGTGGAACTCAGAACGAGTTTTGAAAGAACTCTTTGAAAGAGTTGATTGATTTAACCAAAATCGGTTTGTAAGCCAAGATTGATGAAAGCTCAAAGAACAACTCCGAGGGTCTGAAGATTGTCGAGATCCTTCTTCTGCCAAGAAGCATTGTGCCGATTTTAATTCTCCAAAAATTCCCCTCCAAAGGACCCGTTTCAATTAAGCTGAAATTGTAGCTATTTATAGGAGATTAATGAGTGTAACCGCCCCCTTAATTCGTTCGTTTGGAAGCTGCATTGGCGGCATTTGGAAGCTACGTTAGCAGTTAGCTAGATTTGAGCTACGTTTGCAGCTGGGTTTGAGATTCCCTAAGGACCAAAACCCATGGGACAGGGGAGGGGATAGGGGAGGTGTCCCCTCCCCATTGCTCCATGCACTGTTCATGAACAGTGCATGGAGCAATGGGGAGGGGACACCACACCTGTCCTCTCCCATGTCCCATGGATTTGGGTCTCTGTAGCATTACTCCTATATCATTTCATACTTAACCTGAATGTAAACTAAAACTTGCTAGCAGCTAGTATGTTAACAGTTCATATTATTATGATGGTTTACCAAAACTGTAAATTTTGCGTTGGTTCCAAAAAAGCATTATTCTATGGTGATTCTCCAAAAAAAACACCAGATTTGATCCTACATTAAAAAAAAACACATCATGGATAGAATTATAACACGGTCGCACTTTGTTAACAATTCATATTGCTACAGTAATTTTACAAAAAATGAAAATTTCTTGGTGATCTAAAAAAACTTCCATATTTTATGATGGTTTCATACCAAAAAGGATCCAAATTCTCTATTGGTCCTAGCATTCTTCATTCATGCTCAGATTGAAAAGTTCAGGAAGAACAATAATAATAAAGTAATGCTTATACTACATACATTAAGTTTAGACTACTCTCCGCACTACCAAGGCATAAAAATGTGCAGTACACTTTCTCTTTGAATTTTCATCAAGCACAAATCTTTAAGGTTTCAAGGTCCTGTAGCACAAAATAGCTAGTATAATAATTATAGCCAAGTTAGACTTCATTCACAAACATAAGGTTGAGCATAAAACCAAGGACTAATTGCAAATGGACCCCTTACCCTGCAACTCAATTGCAAATAGATTCCCTAATAGTTCTATTGGTGTGGACGATAACCCAGTACTATATGCCTAATGAAGATAAACCTCTTGGATGAATTTTTCGCACAAATAAAACAACAAGCGGTCCATCCACAAGTGGGCTACAGTACAGGGGCCTGTCCTCAATTAATCCTATAATTAATGGTCAGCTCCTAAATATTGAAATGGTAAAATCACAAAGGTGTACTCGAGTGGGAATCATCATCAACTCTGATCACCATAATTTCTACCCCCACAGCATGTGACACACGAGTATAACCATGAATCATCCTTAACGTAGATTTTTTAGGAGCTTTGAGAAAATTGGAAGAGATTGTCAGATTGATTATAAGATGGGCTAGAGTAGTGTTATATGCCCTTTAACATTCAATACATTTTTATTGAATATTAATTAAGTTTTATTGTTGCACATGTTGTTTGAGTATCTATTATATAATTGTTATATTATCCTTAGAAATTATTTTGTTAGATCATGCACTGTGATGATCACTTGTTTGGAGATATGATCTAATTCAGAGGTTTCTTAAATTTGTGCTTAATCTATAACTAGTAGATGATAACTTTGTTATAACAAGTTATTATGCATGACAACGACATATGAGATGTGATGGTTGATCTCAGCCATCGAAAATAAAGATTCACCGGGTGTATGTCATAAGCGCATATTTGATATGTGTAGCACAAGACCTTATTTGGATTTTCTAGGACGAGTCACCTAAGAGATAGAGAATTCGAATTGTTACATGGTCTCTTCGACTTGATGATATTATCATTTTCGATTTGATAATTTAGTATACTTTGATATGATGGTTAAACTTGTTTTACAAGTGCTATACAACCTAAAATGTTGGGTTATTAGATTTCATTTAGGAAAATGATGGATATCTAGATAGGATCCAATATACTCATCTTTTATGAGTTTATTTATAATGCATATCCCATGAAGATATTAAATTCTCGTCGACGGGTAGTTTTTGAAAATTATTTTATGAATTTATTTTTTTATAAAATAATTTTTTTTGATGTTTCAAAATGATTTTATTTATGTTCATGGGATTGCAATATTAGGAATGAGCAAATAGGTGATTTTTCCTGCTCAATAAAGTTGCCTAAAATAAATTGATACTCGAAGGGACTGAATGTAAGATAATATTATTCACGAATATTTAATCTCATATTATGGAAGAGCTTTTATGAACAGTTGGTCGAATAGGGATTTGATTGTTAAATTAAAATTATTAATTTGACTAATAATTGGTTCTCAATATGAGACCCAATTGGTCTCACTAATATCATTAGAAGAGGTTTATATGCAATAAAATTCCATTTCTATCCTAATTGTTATGGAAATAATGTTCTATTTTTAAATATTATGGATAGAGTTTTAAACAATTAAGAATTATTTTAAAATTAAAATCTATAAGGCAGGTCTAATCCTATATATATGACTTATATGTAGCCTTATGTAGATGAGAAAAAGAAATAAAAGAAAAAGAAAATAGATTTTGAAAACATATCTCTCAGCATTGCTCCTCTTCGGTGACGGGTGGATTTCAGTTGAGGCTTTTTCTCTTGAAGAAGCTATTTCATATTGATCTTGAGACAGGTTATCGAAGAAATTCGGAAAGCATTTCAGGTATTCTTCTAGATTTTAATTACTTTTGATTAATCAACATGATGTGCAATTTCCGCTGCGTTGTATGTCATGTTTCCAATAGGATGAACCATTAACTGATAAAAGGTATCAAGTTTCAGCAAACAGCTTAAACTTTCTTTTCTTTTCTTTTTCCTTTTTTTTGTTGGTCCTTGGGTTTCTAATGGTTTTCTATATAGAGCAGTAGGTTGTTTGTATTACAGGATTTTTGAAGATTTTGTTCAGAAACTACCTCTTTAGATGGTGTTAAGGTGATGGATTTTTGTCATATTGACTCTCAAATTTTCGTTAAGGGCTTGTTTGGTTGGTTTCCTAGAAGTCAAAGAAAAGAAAATAGGGGTGATTTGCACCTGTTTCCTTAAAAAACTCATGAAATCTGCTCCTTAAAAAATGGCTTTGGAGATGGTTAGATAACAATGATGCCCTTTGGAAAAGAATTATCAAATCTAAGTACTACAATGGAGAGAATTTTGTATACTTCTCCTACTTCGAAGATACCTGATTTCTGAAAAAAAAAATGCCTGTAAGAGCCCAGAGTGCTCCCTGTTTAGCACTCATATCGATATTGGAAATGGGGAGAGAACTTAATTTTTGGTTAGATGTTTGGATTCACGACTTCACTCTAGCATCTTGGTTCCCTGAGCTGCTGCATTTGGCTTCTTCCCCTTTGGCACCAGCCAAATCTCAGATGCGGAGGAATGATCAGGGTTGGATGTGGAAAGTTCAATTTAACAGACAACTTAGAGGAAATATGGTGTTTAATTAAATACATGGATTTGTTGGATATTCTGAATAGAGTCTCTTTCTCTTGTGACAAGGATAAAAGAAAATGGGAGGAGGAGGAGGAGGCAAGTGCTAACTTTTCAACTGAATCTTTCTACAATTTTCTGAGTGATGGTGGGGTGAGAGCCCCCTGTGTTGATATCTAGAAGACAGTCGAAGTGAAGATCTTAACCGTGTTAGCTATTAATGGGAAACTGAATACTAAAGATAGGTTGATTATCAAAGGGATTCAAATTGACCCCACTTTGTGTTCAGCGCGGAAAAGAGGAAGAATCTCATGACCATCTGAAACCTGCAGGGGCGGGGAGGAGCAAGGAAGGGAGTGCATTCTCATGCACTGACAGAGATGCTGATCATGATGCTGTAAATCCAAGAGGAGGAACCGGAGCTGCTGCTGTTATGAACATTGCAGAAGTTGATGAGTCTGTTAATGATGTTGAGGCCACGGCCAATGCTTGAAATGATGCTATTTCACTGGGTGACTCTGTAATCAATCCCTTCTTTAGGGAATTAAAGGCGGTTGAAGGCTCATTCTCCGACTCTCCATCCTTCAC